TTTTCATAAATCGAGAATAACGTATAAACTGATCATACGAGATACTCACTGATTTCCTGATTTATTCATTCAAGTAATTAAGATATTATTTGTCCCTTTCGTTATTTTTCTTTATTAGACCCTTTAACTTCTGCCAATTTGAGAGCTTATAGGACACAGTTTATAGTGGTTATGAAGGCTCGAGAAAAATGCATTACTCTAAGGCCAGTGCTTTGGCTTTCGACCAAATTAGATGAGCTTAAACATATATTATGCAAGAGCTAAATCTTTCTATTGCAGGTCTTTCTTTAGGCCTGAAATGTTATCTAAATTATTAATTAGACATTAATTAACTTATCCAAACCATAATCAACTTTCGATGTCATCGCTAGCCTACGATGTTTACTGGATCAGGTTCCGATTTCCTGTTCGACTTCAATTCATAATTTAATCATGGAATGGATAATCGAGACTATGTTGGTATTTTTTTATCGTACCGAGTTCAGTAATGAAGATCGAGGCTAGGCCGAAAATTCAATCACTAAAATCTCGGTTCAGAGTGAATCAATTTGACTGAAATTTTCAGCAAATTCCCTTTACATTATCTAGTTTTTAACTATTATAGTGAGAACTACCAGCTCTTTACCTATTCTCCCATAATGTACCTTTAAGGTTATTTTAAATTTGATATTGTCCATTATTAATTAGATTCATATTCCAGGTTAAAGTTATAACACTTCTTTAATTAAAATCGAAATTATAATCAACGGTGTAGGACATTGAAAGTGTCATAGTTAGTTAGAATTGTTGTACCTGTTGTACCTGTTGTACACATTCTTTAATCTAGTCCCTAGTTCCATCCTATATTGTCATTACATGTGTTTAACATCTTGTTCCCAAGTAGGAGCGTTTATTGACAACTCAAGCTCAAGTAGCTGATAATTACCATCAAATACAATACTTATTCATATGGTAAATGTCCCACCTGTAAATAATAATCAACCGATAATCAACACTGAATCTGTAGAGTGTCCATGTTTGAATTGGAACTTTATTTTTAATTTCTATATTTCGCTTTTGATTCGCGATTGTAAGTGATTTGCGTCGGTGGGATGGAGCTGTAATCTGGCGTCCATTACTGATGAATTGAACAGATTAGGAATATATAAAATGTATATGTCGCCGTACTTTTAACCCATCGTGACATGTGAAGATGATATTTCTCATTTATCCAAATTAGGTGAATATAGAATACATATCAACATCACACCGTTTATAAAGTAGGTGCTAATTGTTATCACCTTGTTATATATTTGTGTGTGTGTGTGTGTGTACAGACCTTATTCTTGACCAGAGATATTTGTCCAATAGTAGTTCGCTGAACTTGTATTAAATAAACAGACTCGGCGTTTCTATAAACTTTTCATTAATTTGGGCTCGTGGGTCTCTAAAATAGGCTATGTATTTGGCATGAGGTATTTATTTCAATACGACGTTTTGGTCACACGGTGAGAGAAAGAGAAATGACAAGACATTTATAACGGCTACACAATCTGTGGGAACGTGTTTAATTTAGAAATAATCGTCATTATTTGGCGAAACAGTTAGAACCAAGAAATAGAATTATGACCCAATCCGCTTTCCATAAGAAGGCATATTATTTGCTTAAATGTAAAATCAGAAGAGGGATGGATCGACGTAGATGTTGAGTGTAATAGAATATTCACCAATAAAATTTCTCGACACATTAGCAAACAATCGGTTTATGAATGGCGAGAGTGTCGTCATCACACTCTTTGACCTCATTGGTTGATTCTTGACACAGTGTAGTAGAAACGTGGTTTAGTACAATTTGGGTGATCTGTTGGAATTCCATGGCGTTAAAACAAACGTATTTAAAACAACTCGCCAAACCTCTGTGACCATATTAAAATTCTAATAGTAATTACGTACGCATTTCTGGAATTTAAAAAAAAGATGTTGGATTCTGTGTCGAATGAAGGTGGCCCTTATTTCACAATGGACAGAGTTTAATTACTGAAAATACAAGTAAGTTAAACGGTTGTCTTTTAAACAAACTCAATTAACAATTTGTTTTAGATTTTTCTGATTATTGGGAACGACAAGAACCGTTACAGCCTGACGATTATTTTTTTCTGTATTTACAACCAATTTTTTCCTTTTATTTTATTTTATATACGGAAACTTATAATCACAACTTTTATTTTATTATATATATGGAAACTTATAATATAATCACAAAGAAAGGAGGGCAAATACTTATTCAGATAAATATGATGCCCAAATTTATCGCATTTTTGCGGGGGAAAAAAGTATTGTTTCGTCTGAAAATGTCATTTTAGACAGATAAATTGTAGACCCGGTTATACCGGGGCGCGGGTAGGGTGCTAGAGGCCCCTCAATGCCCCACTAAACTGATTTTATCTTTCATGATTTTCAGTTTTATGAATTAATATATTTACGGTAATAATGATAAATGAGCAAACTAAAAGGTACTATTTATATTACCTTTTAGTTTGCTAATTTATCATTTTGTACTTGATAACGATAAGAGAATACTTGTCGAAACGTCGTGCTATATGTGTATAAACCAGTGATTGTATTCCATATAAATTGTGTTGTGTTTTTTAACGTAAGAAATTAGGTAGATGAATTTATTTCAGAAGAACGTGGCAATCATATATAAATTATGAACTTTTGCCGGTTTCAGTTAATACCTATCACGCAGACATAATAATGATAATAATAACATCGCTAACTTTTTTTCTCTTTTTTTTAAAGAAAATATGTCCCGGTTTGTATCTGTAATAGCAAAGAGAAATTCAAATTTCAATTGATTTCTATCATATTTCATTTTCCTTATAAACTGGTAGAATTTCTCAATTCTTGGTATATCAATTAAAATAGATTGAAGATTATCTTGTATAAGATATCATGTGGAATGATAAAAATGTCCACAAGAAAAATCTTAACGTTCTTATTTTTACTAACAAACAATGGAGAATAAGTTACTAAGTGCAGACCTCATTACAAGTTAAAGCACGGTATATGCACAGGTTAAATGTGATATAAATTCATAAGATATTTGATAAGCCTGATAATGAATATTTTAAATAATAAAATATCATATCATAAACCCATAAAGGGTGGGCTCTTTCAAAACCATTTAGTACTAGTAAAGTAGCTGACTTTTTTTTCTTTAAAATTTTAAGGAAACAAAATCAGCGAAATGTGTGTCGCCCAAAGTCAAAGATTGTTGTATAAGTTCTTTTGTGCAAAAAATATATGCATTTTTAGTATATTTAGTGTCCTTTATTTTCTGGGAGCTCAGTGAGTAAGGCGTTGACTCGCTAAAATGGAGGCCCCGTGTTCGATCCAGGTTGTCAGTGCTGTAAGGTGGTGCATAGCATGACAAGGAACAACATATAGTCGTTCGGATGGGACGAAAAACGTGTACGTAAAAGAACCCTTGACAGATGGTATTCGAAATAATAGTAGGCCGTTACACTGCTGTCCGGGCAAACTTTCCCTCATTGCACAGTGCATGGCGTATGGCCGTCTCCATTAGCCATGTAGGTGCAGAACCGTAGGGCGTTAAACCCCATTTCATTTTATTAAATGTTAAGGGGCATAATGGTCTTCAATGTTTTCTTTTTAATTTTTATCTTCTCAAAATTCAAAATTAAGAGGCGTTTCTACATTAAACGTTCATAAATTCATCCCAAATTGTATTAACAGAATAGGTATAGACTTCTGCAAACATTGCTGTTATAAAAATCCAGCGAGAAAGGGCAGGTGGTCCATTTAATCAAGAAAGCCCACTCGTAAAATGGAAATGAACGATTTGAATCATTCTTTGATTTATAAGAGGAATTTTGGTTTAGGATGACCTTAGATTATAATATGCATACAATGGTATCCGAAGTCTTTTTCTGGCATATCGTGGCTTTAAGGTAGGCTCCAGGTAGCCAGATATGTCTTATCTCCGAAAACGTAGAACATGTCATCAAAGCCTTTGAAGTGAGGTTCAAGACAACGGTTAAAATCAAAAGTGTTTGATCTTATATCTAATTTAAAAAGTCCCACTCTAAATAATCAATATAAGAGATAAGACAACACTAGTATGGTTAGGGGAACACGTTTGACGCTGACGTTTTCACTTCTCGAACAATGATCTTGCACTTGGCACTTTGCAATCTTGTAGCCACGACGATAGACCACATTCAATTTGCTGTGTTCGTGTGTGTGTGTTTTTGAGGGGGGTTCATATAGCCACCATTAGCTGAAGATTTCTGAACTTCTAATAATCGAATTTGCGACGTTTCCTCGTATGTTATTGGTATTTGAATCTAAATAAGTTGTAGATATCAAGACACAATATTTTTTTTAATGTTGTAACCGCCCCATTCCCATCATTGTCTCCATACCATCACGTGTCATAAACCACAGCTATGATAATTCTTTCGGGTGTATACTATAATATAATATAAGTAAAAGATAAAATCTGTTACTTATAGTCTTATTGTTTATGTTATACATGCTCTTATCCTTTGCAGGTCACCGTTGAAGTAAAAGACAGACAAAAGCCAATTATAGTGAAGAAGAAAAAAAAGAAGAGAAAATAAAAATAAGAATGGTTTTCACAGATAAGGTGTTGAAAGGGTGAAGATTTGTTTGGCTAATTAGAAGAGGCTTCAAAAGAAAAAAAATCCTCCTTACAAGACAGAATATGGCTAAAGGGCGCGAAATGTCGAGTTAATTTGGAAAATATATCTTTTAGACATAGTCGTCTCTCCTTTCAAACTTGGTGCTTTCGAGTTAACTTTGAGAATTTGAATATTTAGGATAGTGGTGGAATTCATTAATTGGATTTGTGTTTATTCTGAACAGAAATGATAAAATTTAATGATCAGAAAAATGTGATTATCAACTGAATTAATTTATTGCAACGTTGTGAAATCCAAAATAATACAAATAGTAACACTGACATCTCAAAATCGTCTTGGATTCGCTAAATTATAACCAAAATGTGATTTGAAAAGTTTGTATAACCAATATTAGACTGAAGATATAGCGTTATTGTGTAGAACAATCATCCCATTCCTATTTACCAGCCATGAATAGAAACAATGCACGCACGTGTATAATAATAAATTCATCAGTAATATTATTAATTGCCTTAAGATTAATTAACGGACTACGGTGTCCGCCATGTGAAAAATTACACTGTATGCCGAACACATTGTCAATACAGACTTGTAAAGGCGGTGTGACTACAAGTATATGTGGGTGTTGTCCAGTATGTGCTAAGGTGAAGGGGGAGAGGTGCGGGGGAGAATATGAGTATTTAGGTAAATGTGATCAAGGATTATATTGTCAGCCTTTAAAACAAGAATCTAACAGCGTTGTATTTCCGGGACAATCAGATTTAGTTGGAAGCTGCACCAATTGTAAGTATGGAATAGGAATTTCTTCAATTTAAAAAAACCCAACATTTTTTGTTTATTGTCTTATAATCTTCCTTATATGTGCGCTATTGAACTATTTGTAAAGTCCTAATTTTTTATTTATTTATTTATTTATTTATTTAAACACAAAATAAATATCTGTAAAGAAACCATATTCAAGACAACTCTCGATTGTTGCTAGTAAGGTATCTCGTTAAGAATTCGATGAATTCTCGCTGTTTTTTGTCTACTCTAAGATGACTCGGGAATAATTCCGAATCAATGCAGAACATTTCTGATTTTTTCCCTCCTAGTAAGTTTATATTAGACCCGCCTTTACTGAAAATATGTTGTTACTACTTTATAAACAAAACTCAGTCATACCAACAACCCTTTGTTTTGATATAATAAACATCCAATGTTTCTTTATCGGCAATCTTTAACTTGTATTTTGTATTCTAGTCTCTGAATTTTTTCTCTTCCTGTTTTAATAATAGTAAATAATGTCACATTCATTTTCCTAAAACAGTTATTAAAAACATGCCCACTGTAAAACATTTGCTTTTAGAATTTTTAACCAATTCTATCGAATGTAAAATGTACAATAATTTCCATATTTTAAATTCTTTATTCGAGCATATGTTTATCAAGCAACCCATAGAACCCATTTCTATTTGGAAGTATGGTATGGCAATGGGAAGACAGAATGCACAGTAAATCATATTATGGCATAAAAAAAACCCACGAACCCCCCCCCCCCCACAAAACATTAATTACACAACGTTAATATTTTGCTAGTATTACTCACACGTTGTTCGGTAACACCAGCACCCATCAGATTATCATCTAGAATATTGTAAGCTGAGCTTATCTTGGACTATATATTTTTCCTGGGGATTTGAATATATATTTTAAATCAAAGTGTTCAGGATCGCGACACAAGTGGAGAATATATTTTTAAACGGTATAGAAAGAATTAAATTTTAACAAAAAAGCGTTATGTATAAATATTTCAGTACCAGGACAACAAGCGGATGAAGGGAGAACATCTTTCTGTCGACCTGTTTGTTCACCTACATATTGTAAAAGAAATCCTAGAGCGATCTGTTCAGCTATGTGAGTTATTTGTCTAGTTCAAGGTTCACTATCATATTATTATATATCCGTTATTTTTTTTTGTATTCTAAAAACCTATGTGTTGAAATACAAATATATTCTTAGCTTAACAATTATTATAGTTCATTTTTATTACTTTCGGTACATATTTCCTCCGTTTTCAAATCTCTCGCCATTAATAACCTTAATAGGAATCAGCCTTCAACGGATCGGAGATATGATGGCAAGACTGCATCTTCAGACCATCTCCCCAACGGTTCTGATTAGGCTATGCTCTACTTACTTGTACCGAATAGCAAAACGGCTTGAAGGAAACACGAATAATAATTAACACTACCATTGTACACATGTTTTCAAAGGGCATGATTGAATTTTATACTAAGAAAATGGAGGCGATAAAATTTCCTACTCGCGGTTTCATTTTCATCCTATGCTGGACTAGCCTCTCATTCACGACTGTTTTTCCTGCATGTCTCGTAGGAGGCGAGAGAGAGAGAGAGAGCGCGCGAGAGAGAGAGAGAGAGAAATGGGGTTTAACGTCCACTCGACACAAATTAGGTCATTTCGGGACTAACATATTGTTTAATTTTATTTCAATAATTCGCTCTGCGCGTAGGGGTCTTAAGCAGTGGGAGGAAGCCGGAGGACCCGGAGAAAACCCACGAGGTTGGACAGGCGACCCTTCTCCTTGTCACGTACAACCGGGGATTCGAAACCACGCCAGTTGACTCAATGACAGGCTTTATGATACAGCGTGCACGTGCTAACCATTCGGCCATCCAACCCCCCTCTCGTAGGAGGCACCTGTCTGCGATATCACCCTAGGTGGAAGCAAACGTACAGCTTGACTAAATTGAACCGTCAAAAATCAGAAGCCAAAACGGTTTTTATATCTGATTGATCCATCATGACTAAAAGTTATATTTCTTAATTTAGTTTTATTACAATCTGGAGAATAAGTTTAATATATTATAGGTTTTCATTTATTTTCTCCTATCACCAATGTTTCAGAAACGTAGCAGATATGCACCAAGAATGCCAAGCACAATGTCAACATACGTCATGCAGTGCATGTAGTTACGTCAAAGATATAAATTGTCCCAAATGTAAAAAGAACGATTTCCGTTGTTTGAAAAAGTATGGAAAATGTATAAAGCGTAATTTTTGTACAAGAAGAAAATTTCCCTGTAAAAGAAAGAGATTAAAGGTAAGAAATATTATCAGTTTATCACCTAAAGGAGTTTTCAAAAAGAAGGTATGGGATTAGGTTGATTTAACTTGAAGTGGTTTTTTTTTACGGATTTTAGTCGAATCATGGGCCTACATTTGGATTAGCTACCCAACAATTTGAGTAGATCGCCTGATTGATTAAGGTATTATCGTCAGCTAATTAGTATTTTGTATTTAAAACAAAATATTATTGCCACATTTACTTCTACTGAACAACGATATAAGGCCATTATACCAATCATCACATTTAAGAACAGTTATAACTTAAACATGCATTATGCAAGAGCAAAATTTGCTTATTACAAGTCTTTCTTTAGGCCTGAAATGTTATCTAAATTATCAATTAGACATTAATTAACTTATCAAGACTATAATAAACTCTCGATGTCAAGGCTAGCCTTCGATGTAGGCTGGATTAGATTCCTATATGCCGCTAACGGCCAAAGATAATTAAATCAGAAAAAGTGGATAATCGAGACTATGCTGTTTATATTAATGATTTTAGTAATGATAACCGAGACTATGCAAAAATTTCACCGGCTTCTTTCTCGGCTCATAGTGGATCAATTTGACTGAAATTTTCAGCAAATTACCTTTACACTATCTAGTTTTTAACTATTATATCGAGAACTGCCATCTCTTTATCTTATCTCCCATAATGTATCTTTAAAGATTGTTGTGCTTCTCTTTTAGATCGTTGAAGATGGAAAGTTTGTATGTAAAGTTCCAGAATGTTTAGATGTATAAAAGAGGATGATAAAAATTGTGTAGTACAGTAAGAGAATTTTAATAGGTTTAAACATTTGGCGCTTAACAGGTTCATTAGATATGGTTGCCGAAGTGAGACAACTTAACATTTACGTTGCGAAAAGATGTTTAATGAAGCGTGAAAAATACATCTCGTGCACCTAAAAAAGATATTTCTAATTACGTAGCCTACTGCTTGGTTAGTGATAGTGTTGATAGGGTGAGATCAGTGTCCCGCGATAAAAATGTCACAAAAATAGGCAGACATTTTGCCCAACAAAGGGAGGTAAATACAACAATACTGAGACTTGGACAAATGATACACGCGAAAGGCTTTTAAGGGTGAAATAAGACGTTATAAATGAAAAAATATTTCATTTTGTAAACTATATTATGGGTATATGGATTTGAATATATCGAATAAAGGAGGGAATAATATATGAAAGATGTATTTATAATACCGTTTGTCGAATCTTATTCGTGTTATAATTTTTAGATGCCTATGATATATTGATGAAAAGAGTATGTAAATGATTTATATTTTTCTATGTATTACTACGATATTGTGATATACATGTACATATCAGATTAATATATCTTTTAAAATACATATCATTAATATATTGTCTATATAATTTTTATTTATTATTAGAAGGAACGGGGGGTTCGATCCCGGTCTTGACCGAGGAAGTTCCCCGGGATTTACCAGCATGGTTTCTCCTTGTCACGGGTGCAGGATGGATGGTCTGGCAAGGAACAGCGTCTAGTCTTTCGAGTAGTAAAAAAAATGGGGTCCCGTCTATACGTCACCATGGACGTAAAGAACCCTTGACAGCTGGAATTTCCCTAAACTCGTCTTCATTATCCCGGTTGGTGCTGAAAAGTAGGACATTAATCACTCGTTAGTCATTCAATCAGAAGGGAATATATACGCCAATATTGGAGGTACATGTATATTACAATGCCGTATCTTCTTGTGGTTGTGCAAATTGTGTCTAGTCGGACACATAACGATGGAGAAATAAGCCACAGAAGTGTAAGGCACGCATTGACTAAAAGACTTGAAAAGTGGAAAGAACTTTCACTGCTATACAGGTCACAATTCTGTGGAATACAGTTACTGCTTATTACTGAGCGACGTTTCGACGAGGCTTCTCTAGTCATTATCAAGCAATGATGATTACTGAGCGACGTTTCGACTAGTCTCTTTACTAATTTTTCAAGCATTTGAACTCGACAAAAATGGGCAAATATTTTTGTTTTAATTGCTGATTAGCTCGCGTAAATTGTCGCAAATTTTAAAATGATTCGTGAAATTTATTACAATAGACCTAATAAATGTAACTTATTGATACAAGGGTTATAATATAAGTGTCACGCTAACAGTGTTAATAAAATAACGAAATAAAAATGATGACAAGGATTAATGTGTCCATTTTAACCTCTTTTTCGTGACGATGACGATAGTAAAAATAGGAAGTTTGCAGTGAGAAACAAAAATCAAAGTTTATCATAACTCTGATTTATGGAAATGTAAGTAGGAAACAAAACCGACACTTACTAATACTATAGAGGTAAGTTATTCGACAGTTTATTGATGTCTTCAGCAAAATCTTCCTTCCTGGTTCTCCGTCTTCATTCGCCCAAGCCCATTCAGAGCAGATCAGTAGGGTATTCAACCTACATTTCATTTCATTAATTCATTTCATTTCATTAGCCACGTCGGAGCAGAACAGTAGGACGTTAAAGTACGTTTCATTTCGTTTCCTTCTTAGTACACTGCATAATCCTGTATCATACGTGTCTAAACACACACATTAATAACAAACTGTGTTATTTTAACATGTTAATATCGTCTATTTTTAATACTGTCTACCTGTTATTCGCTGACAAATTGATATAAATAAGCGCACAGTTCCTCAAATAGACTTTTTATTTTAAGAGAAAATGTAAAAACTGATCAACCATATATTAAAGGCCCACTTTCAGTTCTACTGACTTCAAAACATCTCAAACACTCAGAGTGTGTGGAGAACGCTAGATCGAAGACGGTCTAGCACAAAATTAATGACGTCATATATGTGGATTGTGGGTTAGGGTTAAGGTAAGGTTTAGGGCTAGGTCTAGAGTTAGGGTTAACTCTATTTACGTCTGGAGACCCTGATGAAATCTGCAGCCCCAACCCTAGCCCACACTCCACACATGACGACTTATGTGCCAGACCGTCTCCGATCTAGCGCTCTCCTCAGAGTGTGTTAAAAGACTTCAGTGACAAGGATCGCAACTTTGTCTGCGATATCACCTCGGTGGAATCGGACGTTAAATAAAGCTATTTCACACACGGGCCGCAACACTGCTAATCTACAACCCGTTGACTACGGACAACGTGATTAGGTATTGATTATTTAATATTTAATTAAGAAAACAAACTCAAAAACACTAATGACAGATAATGTCCCGGTTTGGATTCAATCGGATTTTAAAAAAGACCTACCAATAAATGTTCGCGGGAACAAAATGGCGGCCAACTTATTACATAAATCGATGAAATTTCAATTCCATATATCTTTGTAAACACTAAATGGAATTGGATCATTTGTGGACTTATATTCCTATTAGAGATTAACCTTTCACAATATTGTAGCTTGCAAATGATTCATTTGGCTCTAAAATGGCGCATCGAGACTTTAAGTATTGCTTAGACTGTTTCCTTACCTTAAACTGAAAGCATTCTATAATTAATATTAAAAAATAGCCACAATTTAAATCCCACTAACTCCGTACTTGATAAACTGCTATTTTGATATCCTACCCATTTATTTCCAATGTTGATTTAGATTACGGAACTTTCACTATTTGTTTTTATAAATGACGAGAATTGGAATTGTTTTGTCTAAGAATGACAGGAATTTGTTTGTAAAAACAATTGTTACATTTAGCTACGAGGGTATACATCGTATTTGCATTAGTTACATATATTCAGCCAAACAAACTTTTTGTGTTATAAAATGCCCAGAACGTACGTTAACGCCTTTTATTTGTATATATATCTATATTGGTTAAGTGTATAAAAAATTAAAGCGCGGTGCTAAGGGAGTCAATCTGCTGAATAGAATACCTCTGAAGCTATTTAGCGGTACAGATTATTAGCTTTGCAAGATCACCAATAAACACCAACTACAGTCAACTTCACAGCGAAAGCCACCCACTTAACATTAGTAACCTTTCTTCCTGGATTGGAATTATAAATCTGTTTTTAAAATATTATTCTAAACATCGACTACAATGCTGAAATTATATTAGAGCGACATTTACCTGGACGATGAATTGCAATGACAAGATATCAAACATTGTTTAATCAAAACCCCTGATCGTCATTTGGATTTCTCAATGTTTAACCAACGCTAAATATACCCAAACTGATCAATTTAAAGATGCATTATATAAGATTTAGATAGAGAGTTGGACGCTTTTGCTATAATAGTTTCAAAATTGAAAACTTCATTCAAATTACTCTATTCTGGGCAAAGTTATGACTCTTTGAAGACTTAGCGTAGATAGTTATCGTATCAACAGTACTTGACAACCGAGAATAAATCTCGATTATCCTTTTTATTTTTAAATTTGTAAATCTCGCGTGTGTTCCAATCCATTTAAACCTCGGTCCTCTGATGATTTGATTATATCTTGTGATGTGAATACATGTCTAAATAATAATTTATATAAGATTTAAATTTAAAGCCAGAAAAAAAGACCCACAATGGGCAGATTTAACGCTTACATAAATGCATCTTTAACATTTAATGAAGGAAACACAACCATAACATCAAGTAATAAGAAATCAATAAAGATTCTCCCAAAATTTACGTAATGTTGGCTTGTTTATATCATTTGCAGAGAATCGCGATAGTTACCGAATATTCAATAAATCACATTTGTAAATACTGAACGGAATTGAATTATTTTAAACTGATATTCCCTATAGAAATCCAACTTAGCCCCCCTCCCCCCCCCCCCCCCCCCCCCCGTGGCTACGGGCCGGTCCAGAATGATCATATAACAGGACTGGTAAACGGAACTCATCAATACCGATGGTTTAAGAACGAGTCAACAAGACTACCAGATATCTTAATTCCCGAAAAACGCCAGATAATATGCAGTTCATGACTTATCTGTCTTTCAATTAAACGATGCACTACCCTACTTGTAGAAATGCACTCATAAAGACTCACAGATGCAATATGTTAAGAGAAGTTAAAACAATGCTGTTTACATCTTATTTCAAATATTCTGCAAGAAAATCAGTTATTAAAGAAACGTAGTGTTTTCTAGCTCCTTGAATTATCTCCTATACAACATCTTAAAGATATAAATACTTGAACTTGTCAAGTAGTTAAGCTTTTATAGACACGATATTGTGATTATAAACACACTTATTGTAACAGATACCTTCACTTTAAATACCTTCTTACAGTCACATTTACTCAAAACAGTTCGCTTTATAGAACTTGAATTATATAGTTTAACGCCACGACAGTTTCTATGTGTCACATTCATTTTTGATGATAGGTGATGTTAGCATAGATTACGGGTATTAGCCAATGGCAGAGCACACCATTGTCTTAATTTACAAATCCGTCACGGGTGGTGTTTACGAAGATACATGTAGCTATGTGAAAGAAGAAATGGAATGGGGATTAACGTCCTATATTTCTGCACCAAGAGGGCTAACGAAAACTGTTATAGGTCATGCACGGTGCTATCTATGAGGAAAATAGTGCCCGAACAGCGGCGTTAGGGCCGTCTCTTATTTAGAATTCCAACTGTGATGGGCTCTTTTACGTGTACACAGGGACCCCGTTTTTCGTCACATCCGAGCGACAAGACACTGTTCCTTAGCCAGACCACCGACCTTTACTACTAACAATGAGAAACCGCGATAGAAAATCACAGGGAATTTTCTCGGTCATCACCAGGGGCGAACACGAGACCTGGTATAAGCGACCCAGCGTCTTTTTCAATGAGTAAACGTGAGCCCGCTTTGTTTAGGTATCAAAATGGAACATAAACCCCGCCAAACAATCATGCTCGATGTTCTGATAAATAACGACGAGCATATAGTAATCCACCAAGAAACTTCAATTGATACTGACTTTTTCATTGGCATCTTGCTGGAACTATCAAATCCGGAGAAGCGACATAAAGCTCCAAGGATAGAATATTGTGCAGAACATACAGTCCCTCCTGCAACCCTTAGAAGACTTTAAATCACACTTTCGTTTAACCAAATTAACATTTGACTACTTTGTTAACAAGCTCCAGAATTGTTGTTAGGATAGCAATGCCAGGGGCGCACATCAGTTACAATTCCAACACAAGCAATGGTGTTTCCTTGGCATGTTGCTAACCCAGATCCATTTCGTTCACTATCCGATAGAGGATCTGAGGCGAAGATAAACAATCTAATGAAAACAACTATTCAATGGCCATTACCCCCCGGACGTCAAGAAATTTT